CATGGAGTGGGACTGAGAGGGTGGGAGATACTTCAAGGTGGTCCGAAATGGAGGGGGTAGACATGCCCTTGGACCTAGCGGCTGTGGTAATTGTTTTGCCATGTCTCTTGATTTTGTTTCCTTTTGAAACTAATGTTTTTTAGAGAATAAGGCCCTGTTGCATGTCTTCCCCACCCAGAGGGGCATTCACAGATAGCTAAACTTTCCTAACTCACTTTTCTCCCTGAATAAGCAGTAAGAAGTAAAACATCACAGTCCAATTTTGAATTTACTTCATGATCTTTCCTTCATGAGACAAATACTGTACTCTCAGTTAAGCAACCAGGCAGACACCAGCAAAGTCTAAAATGCATTCCTTCCCAGAATTGGTAGAATAAAAGATAATCATTCATAAATTAATCATGATCTATAAATAACCCCAACGTGTCAGAATGCAAGCACAATATGTGTGCAGCAGGAAAGCATTGAGTGGTTTATTTGGGATCATGATACAGTCACACTTTAGTGAGACAATGTGTAATTTGAATTTTCATGTTTTAAAGAAGCGGTTTTCTGATTGTCTCTTTAAATTATGTAAACATTTAATCTTTCACTGAGACTTTCATACAAATATGTGTAGCCAGACACATGTAATGTCTGGCTGGTGGCTGTGGTTGCAAACAGGTTTCAATGCTATAGGTTCCCGAACTGGAGTGACAGTGTTTATGCTCCAGGCTAAGCATTCCAGACCAGGCTTAAAAGATTCAGGGTCAAACTAAAGAGAATAAGGAAGGGGTGCAACAGGCTTTTAGGAATATATTTTCTTTTGGTGGAATGTTATTGGGGAAAAGACAAAACACAATTCAATTTCCTTGTGGACAGCCCTTCACTTCCTAACTCTCATGGTCTAGGTGGGGGTTCTTTCCTCTAAATGTTTTTATATGACCTGAATGCATTAAAGCATAGTCCTAAAAGTAATCTGTTTTTTTTAATTTTATTTATTAATTCAACCAATTTATCAAGTAACATTTGAAATTTGAAGATACATCCAATCCCAATATATCTAGGTAGGAGCAATCTTAATGGAGAAGTAACAGTGGTCACACTTCATGTCATTTGCTCTAGAGAAGGTTTATTACCTTTAATAGCATGCTGATCTGCTCAAGTAGAAGTTCATTAAAAAGCCAACACAAGAGGTGTAGTTGTCCTAAACCTGAAATACACTTACCACCTACAGCGGTTCCCAAACTGTGGTATGGGTACCACCACTGGTACGCATTAACAGATTTATTATAATTACTTTATATCACAAAAATTTGCAGGTGGTACTTAAGTTTGAACTGAAAAAATTGCTGGTGGTACTTAAGATTGTATCTTTCTAAATTGGTGGTGCATAATCTGTCAGAGTTTGGGAACTGCTGAACTAAATCACTGGGAAGAAGAAAACTGCAACATATTGTAAATAATTGCAACCAAGGAATCTGGAAGAAGGTGAAGAAAGAATCTTGTGCTGTTGGTAACTATGAGGAACATGGTGACAGATATGTACAAGGCAAACTCTCCCTTCTTGTGAAATAGGAAGTTCTATTAAAAGAAATAACTTAGCACTTCCCTAAGGCTTTTTATCAATATCAGTAAATCTTTCAAGGTTTTTGTGAATGGTTAAATATTATTATCTATATTTCTTATATAGACAAGCTAAGGCAGAGTTGTGTTCAAGGAGGGTATGCAGCAATGTTGAGAATGGCCTTTATGTTTGTTGAGATGTAGACTTATATCCCATCCATTGGATCAGCAAACCTTCTATTACTAACACCATAAGTCCCTACATCTCTTGCAATGAAACATATGTGTAGTATAATTGTTTTATTAAAAAAGTGGCCTTTTATAAAAACAGTAAACTGTAAGACTAGGGACAGACATTCAAAAAGCCTGAGCCTGAAATGATTCAATCTTTGCAGGTTAGTCTAACCTAGCTAGGCTAAATCAGTTTGTAACTGTAAAGACATCCCCTCTGGACTTAAGAAATGCAGGCACATGCCTGCAGTGGCTCAGGCTAGAAGCAGTGGCGCCCCAGAGCAGCCCTCCCTTCCCCTCTATAGTGCTGAGATGAGGGGGCATGGCCAGGCCCAGCAGGACACTCTGATTAGGGAGGGGTCCCCCCTCCACCAGCCAGGCAGGGAATTGATAACACAGTGCTTATCACCCCTAACTCAGTGCTTATCACCCCATTAAGAAAACAAGAGAGGTGTGTTGCCAGATACCCATTGATTCTGCCTTTGTCCTGTCTGCCACAGCATGGACTGTAGCAAGCACATGGTCTGCTAGCTAATGCTGAGAGGTGTCTGTGTAAGGCAGAGGGAGTGGGGAAATCCCTACTTAGAGGGAAGTGGGGGAGTAGAAGCCAGTCAGACACCTACAGTCTCTGCCAGAGCTGCAGCCAGGGAGGTGAGGGGAGGGGGAAGCCCTGCTGTGGAGCAGAGAGCCCTGCCCAGACCAGAGTGCATGCAGGGATGCTGGGGGAGTCTGATTTAACTTAAACCAGCAAGGGGTCTGGGACAGACATTGCATAAACTGCTTTGACTCAAATTAGTTAAATCTGATACTACATTCAACCAGGTTTATCTCAAACTGGTTTCAGCCCTTTTCAGTCTGATTTATTTGCACTGAACATCTGTTCTGTTACAGGTTTAAACCAGTTTCTGATCACTTAAGCTAGGGACAGACATTACACATAAACCAGTTTAAGTGACATGAAAACTGGAAGGCTGGAGTTTAGCTTATTCCTAGACTGTTTCAGAAGTTATTGATGGACACTATCAGCTAAATCCGTGAATCTCTATGCTTGTTTCTGCCAGATGGAAGACAGAGGTAAAAGGGGGGAAAATCTGCTTTTATTGCTCTGACTAAGAAACTTTGTGTGAGATTGGACCTTTTAATCATGGTTGGTAATACACAGGAGAAAGTGATGGAAGGAAATTTGCTATTGATTTTCTTTTCTTGTGCAAAATAACATGCTGTTTCAATGTTTTGCAATGACACATTTGTCAATAAGACCTCATCTGTGGCCACCTTGTGAATTTCTGTCATCACAGCTCATCTTAAATTCCTTTTTCACTTAAGCTAAAAGCATCCTGTTTTCACTGAATTCCTTTTCTAGGGCTATGCCGTTAACATGGACCTGGTGTTAAAGCCACATCAGGCAAACTGTAGTATGGGTCGCACCATCACACTAGAGCCAGCAGAGAGTATGATCTGGAGGGAGGCTTAGAGTAGCTGGGGTCAGCAATGAGCCTGTGAACTGACCTTTATCCTGTATCCATTTAGGAAAACTAAGATTTTGAAATGTGGCTGTGAACACAGTAATAAGTAATACATTTTCAGGAGTTTTTGAGCATGGACAATTGCTTGGAATAGGTCAGATATACTGGATTTATTTTTAAACCCCCAAAGACAGAGGATGCAAGCATCTGGGCTGATTTGGCAGAAATCAGAATTAGCAACACAAGGGTTTTGTGTTGAGGTCCATCATTCTGGACACGGCAGTGCTGAACTTTGAAATCTGCTGCTGATACACCCACACTTCTGCAGATTATAACAGAGATGAGTTTCTCTGCAACACTGCCCTCTCCCCCTTTCCAATGGCAAAGCATTTCCATGAAGACAATGAAAACTGAGGATGCTCAGAACCTTACAGCATCAGGCCTTTACATGTGCTATTCTTTGAGTTACCAATATGAGGACATTGCATTTTAGTTTGGAATGTGTATTTGTTTGAAACTGAGTTAACATTTTGCATCTTCATGTTGTCTAAAAGCAATTTGCAAATAGAAGGTTAGAGAAGGAAGCTGTGCTTGTGCTGAATAGGTTTCAAAAGTTTTTTTTTTTTTCCTGTTGGCCTCAGTGGAACAGTGTAAGGGAAAAGTCAGTGACCTTCACCAAGATAAATGATTTTCCTCAGCTTCTGTGCCATCCTTGATCATGATAATTAAGTAGCATGTTTCATGTTAATACTGATAATCTGACTGATCTTAAATCAGAAACTTTTTTGTTGAAGTGTGGAAAATAAATGCAGCATGCCACTTTGCTAAATTAAGTGTGTAATTTATCTGCCTTTGATGTAGCCCAGTAAGTACTGTAAGTGCATTATTAGATGTATCCTTCCCTCCTGCTTTCATAAATGGGAAGTACTTAGAAAGAACATTTTGAGAGAGAGACAAAAAAGGACTTTTACTTTGGGGAATTCCTATCTGAGTAAGAAATCTGAACTGGAGCCCAACATCTGACAAGCCTTGAAAAGTAGAAGTGGAATCCACCTCTGAATTTCCCTTCCAAGTCTTATCTCTATAATGCACCACATCAAAAATCCCCACATTTTAAGAAGAGGTTTTTAAATCCACATCCCAGTGCTGCAAACTGTACTCATTGTTTTTAAACAGAGGGGCTTGTTTAAGATTGATAGAAAGCACTTCAACCACTCTGACAAAATGTAGTATTGGCGGCATAACTGTGAATCTTTGATACCCTTCCTCCTAACTATACAATATCTCATTTTAGATAAAGGAGAATGCAGCAAACACCCAAACTGCTCAGTCTAGACATCAGATGGGGCACTCTACCTTGCTGATGTATAGCCAAATGCAACTACTCTGCCAGTAATATATAAATCAATCCTGCTCTAGATCAGGCTGAGCCAGAATTTGAACCTGGGGCAGTTACATACAAGGCTACTGGCTGTTCCATGGTGAAGAGGTTGAAGTATTCCCACTTTCTCCACCCTTTTAACAAGGCATTCAGTCCATTAGGTGAAACTGCTGAAAAGTTTCCCATGAAAAGTTTCAGGTTTAGTGTATTGGCAGGTTTCTTTTGAAAATTCCCTTCCAGCTGGGCAATAACAACAATGTTCTAGCAGCCTTAAGCATTTGAGGGTAGACTTTTAACTATAAAATGTATCTGCTCATCCTGTTGTGGTTGATGCTTGTTAAATGATCAATAGTTTATACTGTGTTTTCTATTTGTAGGGAGGCAATAAGCCGACTGTGTGAAGCTGTACCAGGGACAAATGGAGCTCTAAAAAAGCGGAAGGTAAATATTACACTGCTGGGTCACACTGATATTTACCTTTCTGTGTCTGCATTTTATGGGCTAGATGACTTCCAAGGAGGATTCAGCACATGAGGGAATTTATGCGAGTTAGCTGAATTGCACTACCTCTTACACATTTCTGCTTAGAACTAGAAGTTATTTGATGTGCAATCAATTCGGTGTCATAGCATCCGGCAAGGTTAACACCCTGTCTTGTAGTTTTTGTTCACACTCTGCTGTTCCAAACCCCCCCCAGTGTGGGTGGTGGATGAAAAACAAAAGCAGATGTTCCAAACCCCACCCAGTGTGGGTGGTGGATGAAAAACAAAAGTTTTTTTTTTTTTAATTTCTAGGGAGACTACATTAATTGACGGTTCTCCCCCATTATTGTCCTTAGGTTAAATGATTTAACACTAAAATTACAGCAATCACCATTGTTCATTTAATATCCACTGCTCAGAGCAACGCTAACACTGTAGTACACTGGAAACAGATCTGCAGAGCAGTAGCAATGGGGCCGTCATGGTAGCTTTGTTTCTGGGTTTCACGTGTGGAGTGGGAGCTGGAAGGAGTGGGAGATGTGGTGCAGCTCTTCGGCCACAGAAACAGCCTAGTGCAGCACAACACAGCATATCTAAGTTAACTGGAAGGTGGTGATTTCCATCAGTAACCATGGAGTGCGGTAGGGGTGGCTCTCATTAAACATATTCCTGTTATTCTTGGGAAATGAATAAATTGGAGAACTTCCTGATTTACTTCCAAATATGTTATCCACAAGAAAAGAAGCAGAATTCAATGAAGAAAGGACTTGTTATAAATTATTCGCCCAGCTCTACTACTTACAAACACAGCTCATTGGTATTTTTTTTTTTTTTTTTACTTTTAATGTATCATTATTAACATGCATGGTGTTTGCATATAAGTATTAACAGATAGTATTTCTAGCCTGCCTTTGCTACTGTTAAATGGCCCAGTTGGGCATGGGTCTACCTCTTATTTATTCCCATATGTTATAAAATCTACGTGACTCTAGGATAAAGCTGTTTGTGGAACATGAAGCTTACGGTGTGTTTTTGTTTGTTTTTTGGTTTAAAGCCTCCAGTTAAGTTTCTGTCTTCTGTGCTTGGCAAAAGTAACCTTCAGTTTTCTGGAGTGAATATAAAGCTGACCATCTCAACAAGCAGCCTTACTTTGATGAATGTTGACACCCAGCAGGTAGGATCCTCATAGGTCAGTTCCTGAAGTATCTGTTCATCTATGTTCACATATATTCCTCCTTTCTGAGATGCCTGTGACTGTGTTTTATGAATGAATAAGGAAGGCAAAACCATCATGCTGAACAAATGGTGAAGATTAGCCGGAGCTTCCAAAGCTAAAAAGCTTTGGGGAATTTGACACTGATGTAAATTCTTTGTGTTTATAAAGAGTATTTTTTCATAGAGAAGGCAGCCTAAGCACTAAACAAACTGTTCCTGCGTGTTCGTACAGTGCCTAATAATCAGGCTTCTCTTCTGATTGGAGTTCCTCATTACTGCCAATAATTGACCATTTAATAAAAATAATGGATCAGACCTGAGCCTCCGTTAGGGCAGTTTGCACTGCTCCGTGGAACAAAGCCCTCTGCTTACCTGGGCCCAAGGGGATCTCATCTGGCATCCAATTTTGGAAGTTGGTAAAGAGGCTCTGGTCAGTGCATTCAGGACTGACTCTTTGGGACCATGGTCACCCACCAGAAAAAACTTAAAAGATGTCTGGAGATGATGAGCAATTCTCATGGCCCAAAGCTGGGTAAAGGCTAGGTATATATATCCCTTTTGTGAAGCTCCCTCACCTTTTATCGCCACTGCTGAGAAAAGTTCAGAGCTTCCTTCTGACAGAGACGGTTTAGCAAATAATTCTTCTATACCTGGGGCATCTGCAGGGGGATTATGGGTCCTTTGCACCACTCAGGTTTGCAGAGGCAACAAAACTCATCTAGAGAATCTGGCTCCAGTGCTTATATTTTTTCTCCATGTTGGTAAGTTGTTGGTAACTTGCTTTGCTGTTCTTGCTAACCTTTTCTTACCAGACCTTGGTAAATTGAAAATCCAATTTATTGTTCTTGCAGTACCACTGCATTTTATTCTCTTCCTATACGCTTCATCAGTGACAGGTGATAATACATGAACTCCAAAAGTGGATGCTCGGTCATGCTGAAGAGATCTATGGTGAATAAAAGTACTGCAGCAAGGAAATAGCATCAGAATTCAAATACCAGAGGCCTCTGTTGATCAATATAGTGTTCCTCATCAACCCGACAGCTGTCAATGCAGTTAATTTAATTCATTTTTCTTCACTTGAATCATGGTTCTGTAACTCTCTGCTCAAATGGCCCCAATTATCCTAATATTCAAGGACCCAAGTTAGCTGCTTCTTAATAGTTTTAAAGCTCAACCGTTAAACTCATTTTGAAAAATCCATAAAGGTTACCCTAAGTCAATTAAGATGTTAGCGCTCTTGCTGTACTCTACACAAATCTGACATAGGTATGTTTGTTTATGCCCATTTATGAGTTCTTGCACTGCACGTATTATCACATCAGTTTTTCAAGAACTAAAACTCTTGGTCAATAGAGATATTATCTGGTATCTTCAAAATGTGTGCCACAAATGCACTTTAATTTGTTATATTTTTCAGATAATTGCCAATCACCACATGCAGTCCATCTCGTTTGCCTCTGGAGGTGACCCAGTAAGTACTAATTTATAAGAGCTATTTCTATAAGCATAAAGGATTTGTTATGAAGCTACAAGTACCTGTAATTACCCTACTTCATCCCTTCCTGTCTCCAAGTTAAATTGCACTTATAGGGTACTTAACATTTCCAATTCATTACATGTAGTACAAGGGAAGTAGTTGGACTGGGATAGGGAACTTGTAGCGTCTCTCCCCGGCCCTGTCATCAACTCTCTGCTTGTGCAAGTCACTTTGTATGTCTCTCTCTTTTGAGCTCAGACACTTTGATTTTCCCCCAACCCCCAAATGTAGGGGACATAGAAATAGGAACATTTGAACATAGAAACTATCAAACAGGATCAAATCTATGTACCATGCAGTTCCATATCCTCGTGCCATCAGTGGGTACCACATGATACTTCAGAGGAATTTGCAAAAATGTTCACAGCAGGTATGAGGGACAGTCCTTTTATTAGTAGTTCTGGAGGTCTTCTCCGATGTCCTGATGGTGATAAATTGGCTCCAGAGGTTTAACAAAAGGCATTGTATCTTTTCTCCAAACCTTTTAAGAGTTTAATAGTCTAACTAGATTACTTGTTATCCATAGAAATATTCCCCACTTTGAATCTTAAAGTTTTTCCTGGGCATTGTGCAACAGGGAGTTTCATAGTCTTACCTAGACATACAAAAAACTAGAACTCTTGGTTCCAAAATGATGCCTTTTATTAGACCAACTGGGAAATCGCAAGAAAATTGTCCTTTTCTGCAAGCTTTCAGGATCAAAGTCCCTTCGTCAGGCTCTGGGGAAAGTATAGATGGTACAAGATGGTAAAAAGTCCCAGTAGGTACTTAAGTATGGTTACAAGATTTTTACAAAATGGTAAAAAGTCCCCATAGTCTTAACTATGCATTACTGCAGAGAGAGGTAGTTAGCCATGTTAGTCTGAAGGCAGGGCAGAGTGGCACCCTTAGTTTAACTTGTTCAGCGAGGCATGAGCTTTCACAGGTGACAGCCTACTCTTCTGCCAGGCACTAAACTGGAGTAACAATAGCCAAGTTCAATGTAAAGATTTTTGTGCAATTTTTCTATCTTGGCTTGAAGCTGTATCCAGGAAGATAGGAAAATAAATACTACCTGGGCAGCCATTCATAGCATTCAATGAAGAAGTGGGCTATAGCCTACAAAACTCATGCCTCTTTGAATGAGTTTGCCTATAAGGTGCCAGCTGCCTGCCTTATGCATTGTAGGGA